CATTTTTCAAAATTTGCTACCATTTTAACATATTTTACTATAACTCAAAAAAAGTAGAACGATTTTGTTCATATTTGGTATGTGAATACTATAAGCATGGCACACTGTCTAATGACACTTTTGGTAGAAGGCGGCCATTTTGAAAAATTGTCGCCATTTTAACGTATTTTTCTATAACTCGAAAAGTAGTGGATTGATTTTGTTCATATTTGGTATGTGAATACTATAAGCATGTCACAATGTCTAATGACACTTTTGGTAGAAGGTAGTCATTTTGAAAAATGGCTGCCATTTTTGCTCTATACTTTGTAAAAATGCCAGCCATGGCTGTTTGATAGGATTTGCTACGCTTTAGCGTTGCTGTTGTCTAGTTTACAGCTTATGATGCAATTTGTGGTTCTGTATAAAATATCGTTATCTAATATTTTTGACTTTAAATGGACCTCTGTTAGACAATACATTAATAAGTAATCGGTATTATTACCATCTTAAAGGGCCTGTTCTAGGGTGCTAGTTTAGTTTAGTTTAAAAGGCATTTATCATATATGGACCTAAGCAATATGTGAAGTTGTAATGGCGGGCCTTAGTGGCGGGCCAATAATGCATTAACGTCCGGCCATTTTCTTTGGGAAATGAGATATTGTTCAATGCATATAGTTTTTGCTATTTCAGCCCTGGGCATTAACGGGGGTAAGAATACTAATAACGTCATTTCTGCGGGCAATATCCTCTAAAATGTATAGAGGATATTCCCAAGGGAAAATCATTTACACTATTGCTCGAAATTAGGCAGTCACTATCTGTTTTATTATATACCCTATACTGACTTGTCCCGTTTCCTCTGCGAAGGCCAAAAGGCTTGGAAAGCCCCCTTCCCGCCCATTGTTAGCATTATAAGCTGTGACACAGACTTTTGAGCTTAGGGAACTTTATTCCTGTTGCTTATATTGTATCGTTCAAGCATGTCTTTCATGGTGAACGGAGTTGATTTGTGTTTGTGCTCATCCTCCATTTTCTGTTTTTCGTCTGTGCAGTGATGATGCGCAGACATTTCCAAGGGTAATAGAAGTTGCAATTGTGATGTCAGCGGCCAATAGTTCAAATGTTTATTCCCGCTTTTTACATTTGAGGGAAATAAGGGAAATAGTAAATCTATTTCGGAACACGTGACTAGGTATTGACCAATCAGGATTAGTGTTACATATTTGGTATATAATAAAGTGAAATATTGGATCGGTCCAAAGTCCTGGTATGGTGGCATAAAATATAGCAATCAATTAAATACAGATAAAAGTCTGGTTCTTTTTATATTTATCAGACAGGAATATACCTGCTTTTTTCTCCCAAGGAAAAATCTATTAAATGAATCTTTTACAGATTTCATATCGCAAACAAACACTATCGTCGTGTAATATACTTAAAAACTTTTATTAAATATACTGGCCATACTAATTCATATACCCTGTCTGTACACACTGGAATCAGACTATGTTACTTGTGTCTATTTTCGTAATTCAAAAAGGTCAGTCATTTATATGCTATAATAGCGCAGATGTGAGTAGGTAGTTACAAGTTTCACCACCAGGTGCTCGTTTGGGTCAGATAACATGGCGGGTATAGTAGAAAGTTCCCTTTAACTTAAATTACAATTGTTTTAGTGGTTCAATTTTCATATAACCCTTATGTATCTAATAGTTATGCAAATTGAAATATGTCCTGTAAAATTAAATGTTATCTGTCCAATACAAGAAAAGAGATTACACTTGTCATTTTGTAACATGGGGTCTTATTGGGAATCAACCCGAACTAAAAGTCACATTTTCCAAAAAATTTAATTAACTATGTTTTACTTTTACATGTAGATTTCAAATATGACATCACTTCTACTGAATTTTGAATATTTAATGGCGTAAATCAAGATTATTTCTACTCGCATTTAGTCTATTATAATTTGGAGTATTGTTTAACCAAAGTAAATTGGTTTGTCTGAGTATGTTTGAGATAATCATAACAATATACATTTAAGCTATTTTTTACATGCATCTTCTCATGTTAGTTAGAGGTAAATGACTGCTATTACTGCTGAAGGTAGTATGATATATGTATGTACTATGTAGTCTCGATCTGGTTCGTGAAGTATATAATGGAGTCATAAACTAGACCGAGGTTGTTGTGATCCCTAATCTTAGATTTATGATTTATATGATCAATACCATGTAAAAATGAATTTTCAAGTGCAATAAATAGAAAAAGTTATGTAGCAACAGATTGTGGGCTTCCCGGATTTTATAACTTTGAAAGATAATCTAGAATAACAATGATTAGATCAGACCACTGATATTTTTCTGTAGATAAATCCAGGCTAAAAGGTAAAAATCACCATGTAAAAGAGTAGATACAGATATTTTTCATTCTCATACCAGAAAGTTGAAAATCCGGCCATTGCTTTATCTCAAAAGTCACAAGTTCAGGGACATTCTCATACCAGATCCTAAAATGTAGGTCCATTGTCAACAAAGAGGCAGGCACCCCATGTGCATCCAGGATCCACATCCTCATGTCACATATATAATTTGTCACGATTAGCAAATATACTGTTTAAAATTTATTAAAAACTTGAGGATTTTACTTAAGTTGTATTTTTGTATTCAAATATAGCATCAACGTTTACAAGATAAGCAACATAATGCACTCACTTAATACCACAATAAAATCTTGGGCTATTGTTTTTACATTACAAAAAGGCATGTATCACTTGACAAGTACGGAAAAAAAAAATTAGGAAATTTAGAATCACATGACAAAATATACGGACACAATCCCCGTATACTGAAGATTTCGGTCCATGTTCAGGATACACTATTTCTCCTGTATATGACCCTAAAACATCCCAAATGCAAGATAAATATGATCTAAACTAGAATATTTTTGTCCCGTGATACCCCTATCGGGCAGGTATATGAAATTGGCCTTGGGATAATCTGAATAAGCTGAAGCTCATATAGGATAATCTATATGTAGTTATGTACTACTCCCATGAAAAGTTACACATCTTTCATTACAAATATTTTTGTCAGTATCATTTTCATAAGGTGATGAATAATAACATCATCCTCTTTTAAGAGATACAGTTTTAGCTCGTAGTTTGTTAGTAGATTTTAGTGAGTAGTCGTGACTAATGTAATCATATAATGATACAAGATGTCAATAAAAGTTATATATATAGAGATTATCCTATATGAGGTTCAGGATATTGGGATTATCCCGAGGCAAATATAATATATTTGCCCGAGGGCCGCAGGTCCCGAGGGAAAATATGTTATATTGGCCAAGGGATAATCCCAATATCCTGAACCGACTATAGGATAATATGTTTATCCCATACCAATCTTGGTCATCTGGTTCACATTGTTCAATCGTGGAAATATTTTAGAATATTCATGTCCAGTTTTGTTTTCTTGGCCGTGGTTGGATTTTCCTGTTCTCTCAAATATTCCCATATTTATTTTCTCGAATTTTTGATTGATTAAGTGGATGCTCCTTGCTATCAAACAGATCCCGATTGTCTGTGTTTTCTCCATTGTCGTTTACAGTCATTACGCGAATGTTACAAATTATGAACAAATATGCGAGCGACGATTATGACGTAGCGGGCAGATATACTATATCTGCCCACTCGGAGCGGGACGTAAAGCTATATCTGCCCGCTGATGAAAATATAAGTTTTTAGAAACTGGCTTTATGTACCTGTAACACGTCCAAGTATGGGATAAAATCATGTACATCGATTCATTGAAAATGAAAATGTGTCATTAGTTGAACTTTATATCAGTTGAACGATATATTTGGACTCTGAGTAACTAAAGTTGTCTAGGATTTTTTATTTTTATTGCATTCACTATCTGCTTAGAGGAATTCATAAAGTGGAGGAAATACAAGATAGGTAAAGATGGTTGAGTACATATCATTGAATTCTGTAAAAAAGTGAATCCATGTATTATCTGAATGGCTCAGTATATGAAAAGTCACCCCAAAAAGATGACTCGACTTTGGCTTGAAAATTTGAAGATGTTTCCGGAAGTAATATTGCCATGGATTTAATGTATAATAAAACCTGGAACACCTAGCTAATCTGAAATCAAAACACCTGGCTATTATATTGAAATAAGGCATTTCTGAAACCTATTGTATTTAGGAATGTAAATAACATAATATTTATTCGTAATTGTTTTGTTTTTAAATGCATCTGTACAATTATTGTGGCATTAAATCAATTTCTATATGTTGTCATGAAAATCCTTTTAAAAATCATTGTTTTTTGTTTAATGCATTAAAAATATTTTTGAAACAGATTTTAATTAACATTTATTTTACAGCTGGATGTTTATTTAAAAAAATCATATTTATTCAATCTGTACATGATTATTATTATCTGTGCATGATTATTATGCAAATATCTACACTACATTAAAATGATACATATGATTTTTATGAAGAAAAAGATGTGACATGTCTAAAAGATTCTGAAATTCAAGTCCTTGTGATTCTTGGAATTCTATCTTTGGAAATCTCATATCCGTTGTCTCTCCCATCAACATTCTCAGAAACATGATTATTGAAAATGTTGTCTTTCCTATAATAATGGTTATTAAGACAACTTTTCACTCTGTCACGTAACTAAAAGATGCCTCCAGAAACTGGGTGTTAGAATATAAATGTCATGATATGATATAGACTAATATGCAATGTAGAAGTAGAAGAGACATTGGCAGAAAGGGAACCTTTGATTATCCCACCGAACGAAGTTTGAGGGGGATATAGAAAAGCCGTCCGTCCATTCGTCCGTCCGTTCGTTCCTCCGTCCGTTCGTTTGTCCGTTCCTCCGTCCGTCTGTTCGTGTGTCCGGGCAATTACTCAAATACCGGTCGACGGTTAGTTGCATCATAGTATAGACAATATATCCACATTTTTAATGAATACATTTGTTTAATGTTTTCCAGCTGCCAAACTTGGTCGCAGGTCACGTAAAATGCGTGAAATGATAAGTGAGGCTGTGCGTACAATTGAAGACTCCCAATCTGCTCAGGCAGTCCATGGTCTCCTTAGCCTCAAGGCGGACTCAACAAATCCTGGAGATTTCCCCTCACTTCTTAAAGCAGTTGGTCAGCAGATGGGAGGAAGTGAAATGGGGTCTTTGAACGACCGCTTGGGTCAAGGGGATATGAATTACGATGAGATTGTTACCACAAAGGCTTTAGCTAGGGCTGCAGCGAAGCCTGGTAGTTTAAATAACTTGCCTGGAGTGACTGGGATACCACCGCATATCGCGGCGCAGACCCCTCCACAGGTGTTACAGATGTTGTACCACATGCAAGAGCAGCAACGGCAACAGATGAAACAATTACAGAATTCCAATCAAGAATCTCATCCGCATATGGATATACCCCAAGGTTATACACCCAGAGCACAAGGATCATTCCAACAGTCGCATAAAGAAGAATACCCTCAAAATATGCGCAACTCATTTGCTCAAATCTCCTCCATACAAACAAAGATGGACACTGGAGGCATGGTTGGTGTACGCACAATGCCTCATACATCTAAACATCTCGATAACCTTGCTCAAGTATACCCTCACTCTCCCCCAGCCCATTCAAGGACCCCAACCCCAGCCTCAGAGCAACATGTGCCTTCACCTAACAACTTAGGCAATAGAATGGATGATAATTTTCATGTGCGTAATCCCGTAAAAAAGAGGCCTTACCCTCCTCAATCCCCAAATAGTCCTGGATCCCCAATGAGTATGAATATTGATGACCATGATGTTAGAAATAGTAACGTTATTCATCCAAGATTGAATAATGAAAATCAGACAGGTTCAGCTGATTGTTCAGACAATATTGGATCGCTATTTGATGTTTCTTCCTCAAGAGCTTCAAATTTATCTTCATCGTCATCGATTGAAACTGATTTTGTAAACCAAATGTCTGAGGAGGAAAAAAACATTCACCAAATGTTGACTGAAAAAATTACTAATGCTTTTACGGAAGTTTTTCCTTATACCTTTGATAAGGTTTCTGCGATGAGGGAAGCTTTAAAGAAGCGTCAAATGGGGACTTCTCCAATAGATGCCATGATAAACAAGGTTGTTTGTGATGCAATATCAGAAAATGATGATGGAAACAAAATTATGGTAAGTATTTTTCTCTCTCATGCTCCTGCTAATTTCAGTATGGTTATATTATAAATGGTGGTCCAGAAGTAAGATGTTGCCGTCATTACAATCCTACTGAACCAGATTTCTTGAAACTTGGTAGAGATCCCGGGGTAGAGATATTCCCCAAACATGTTCAGTGTTCGGGTTAACACAAAGTTTTCTTATATTTATGGAAATTTCAGAAGGTTGGACAAAAAATCAAAAATTACGTCCTTGGGACACAAACATTGTAGACTGCGTCGAGGTAACTTTTACTGCAACATGGTAGCAATGAAACATGATTTATATCAGTCATTTTTAGATTGGCTACCAGAGAAGATTTGCAGAGATTCAGGTCTGAAACATGGATTTTAATTGGCTCGGATGTGTTCTGAATTATGCTGAGATATAAGTAGATTGCTTTGTTGCGTCCAAACATCAGACTTTAATTAATGCATAAATTAACAAAGTCTCAAAATAATATAAAATGTGAGGTGCAAAAATTAGAGGGGACTCAAATTTTCAACTGATTTTTGTCCCTGGAATTCAAAAATTTAAATGGTTATCGTGAACACGGATTATTTACTTACTACCTCAAGATTAAAGATGTAAATATTTGATTGGTTGATATGGTTACTATGGTAACACAATGTGACATCAGGGGGGGGCAAATTATTTGTTATATTTTAGTAGAAATTGAAATGACTAGGATTTCCATGAACATTTTCTGAGGACCTGTTTTTGGTTGAAACCATTGAATCAATTTGGGCTTGACTCAATCACCTTCACATGATTAAATGTGACAGTAGAGTTTAGCTGTTTCAGAAAGTCTTGTTTCATTCTGTAATTTTGTTTTTCCAGATTCCCACTGCTGCTGGGATGCCTTTAACGATGCCAGATCCGCAAATGGGTGAGAAAATGTGGAAAGGATTCCAAGTTCGACTAAATGATGTCATTAAACAGGTTGTCAGCTTTGCCAAAAAGGTGCCTGGTTTTGTGGAACTTCACACGGAAGACCAGATTAATTTGATCAAAGGAGGCTGTTTCGAGGTATCACTAAATTTTTATTTCAACCCAAGTAGCGATGACATATTGCCATAATCTTCAACTTCTTGTGGATGGTGTTTGGCATTCTCTGTTTGGCATTTGGCAGATGGTGACATTTTTTATGTTAACGCATTGCCTTGTTAGGTATTGTTATGATGAGAACATGCATTAGCCATGCAAATGTATTTTGTTATGTATTTTGTTAACTAATGGAATTAAGTCATGTAAAAAACACTCAATATAGTAGAAACAAATAGCCACACATGTGGGACCACTATATTGTTCCTTTTTCTTTTTTTATTGTTTTTTTATTGTAATACTCATAATTTGCATACAAAATGACAGGACCAAAGCTGATCCCCTGTGATGAATCATGGACAAAACCACTACTTTGCATTTTTTGTATATAAAAAGGTATCATTTGCTAACAAAGATATATTAATCACCTGGGCCTCATATACTTATGGAACACCTGGATATCTGGGGCTGATTCCATTTACACTCCACTATACCTAACCCTTAGAAATGCATAAGATACTCTGTCCAATTGTATCGTTTAGTATATTTTTGAAAGTACCTTATTAACATCTAATGTCATCTGATAAACCATTAATAAGGAACAGAGAAATAAAAACAAATAACATAATCATTACTAATAAGCCAAAAGGGTTGCTCATGAACACCCAATGCAAGGTAAAGTAGAGTGTATATCACAAATTACAAGCAACGATAAGAGTAATTGCCAGCTTGTTGTCTAAATGTTAAGTGATGAATATTTATTGTATTTATTGTTGAACATGTATTTTTTTGATTGAATTATAACTCATTGGCTCAATCAGATCAAACTGTTGCAGCACGATTGTATACTGCATGCATGCTTATAATAAAATTAAACCATTCATTTATCATTCTATATCATTTAACTGTGCTTATAGTCTTATACTGCATTTATGGAAATATGGATTTTCAACATGTTTAAACGACTGACAAAAATGAATATCGCAGATCCTTGTTTTATTTTTATTTCACATACTTTTTCTTATCATAGAGATGTACCAGCAAAAATGCAATCTCATGTATAGTACTCCAATGGAAATTTAGTCAGGAACTTCCTTTCCTAATGTCACTAATTTTTACTCATTTTCCATGAAATTTGGGACACCTGTTCTTTGGAATGTTCGTAATCCTAACACTCCAAAACAAACACATTGCATAGCATTTACATTTCAGTTTGATAAGTCCCATCTGGTTCATTTCATTGTCCATGCTAATAATGGTGAAGGCGCCTGCCTCATCTGCCGGCGGTGTTGTCAGGTTCTTCATTATATTCATTAACACTATATGCTTCTTTCTAGGCACATGCCTAAATATATATAACTAATAATCTATAACTTACAATGAAGCCACAAGGCAAATTACCCAAGTTATGCTCTAAAATGTTTATTAGAAAGGACCGGTCAGGAGTTACATTTGCAGAAGGCAACAGGCAATTTTCACCAGTTGTTTTCACAAAATCGCTTGTTGTTTTCAGGAACTTTTCAACATGTTAAATTTATGATTTCCATTCATTTCACCTGCTGTTTTCATTTGTTTAGCCTGTTGAAATTATGAGAAATTCTAGTGAAACCCCTGATCAGTGCTTACTTAATACTAAATTGAGCTCTCGTTTTATACCAATAATGAGTCTTGTCAAATGTTGAAATGCAGCTTTAACAGCTTTGGTTGTATTTGAAATAGTACTATACTGCTTGTTGGTTTACAATTTCTGTTCAAAAGAGAAATTTTTAAATGACCTCCAAATTCAAAATGAGCATTTTTTTGTCACAAATATAAGTTTTTTCTTTATAAATACTTTTTGGAGGATTTCTACATAATATTTCAACATTCAAGATATTATGCTTCATGTGTGAAGGGAGTCTACTTGCCCACTTTTATCACACTATTGACATAATATAGTTGATGGATCCATGACAGAGCATAACATGATCAAAAAAGAGGAGGGATTTGATAATATTTGCTGGGTAGGATTGACAACTCCATTATTTAGACTTTCTTCTTGCTTCTAGTTACTGCTATTAGTCATCCACCATTGTCTACTTGGCTCATAATTAGAGGGAATCTTTTAGAGCTTGCACGTTATTTATATAGCCATTAAGTAACTCTAACTTTTTATAATGATGACCAAATGACTTCAGCTTTATGGATATGCTCTCTATACCCTAAGTGTTCCTCAAATATGGGATTGTCCTCACAGTGATTAAATTAGAGATGGTTGAACTAAAACATTGTAGCTTATTGCTTCAATTAGTATTATATCAGATCCCCTTTTCCTTCTTTTTCCATCTATTTCCCCACCTAGTATAGATATATGAGAGCTAAAAAGGGCTTGATGCAAGTGTATGCCTTTTTATTTTTAGGTTGCATGTGTAGTTCATGCTGCTTTCATAGATGAAGAGAGTAACAGCATGTACATCCTTGGCAACAACATGGTCGTCACCCGTCAACAACTTAAAGCTGGATTCATCCTTGGGGAAAAATTCATTGAACTAATGTTCAATTTTTCCATACGTCTGAATTCCTTCAGATTAACGAACGCTGAGATGTCTCTCTTTAGTGCACTTATGATCATATCCCCAGGTGAGTGCCCCTTAGGAATTGTCTCATATGTTTCACAAAATTCTACATGAATTCAATTGGGTTTAAATGCTGGGTGGTAAAATACTTTTGCTTATTATCTAAAAGTGAAAATTATTTCATGAGTGCCGTTGTGTTTTTCTAAATTTACATTTTTTCAAAATTTTAACAAGGGTAGATGATGGGAAAATGGATTCAATGTAGAATGAAGTGCTTTGCTTAGAGATGTCCCTCAGTGACTGTCATTTTGATCATGCATTTTGTCACTCTTGATGCACTGTTGGGTGTATGAAGTAGTTTCTCAGCTGTGTCCATTGGTGTACCCATATGTGCATCTATATATGTACCCAAAGATGCATTCAAATGTGTCCTTATAGATGTACCCATAGATGCATGCGTAGGTGTACCTAGAGATGTATCTCTAGATGTACCCAAGATGCATTCAAATGTGTCCTTATAGATGTACCCATAGATGCATGCATAGGTGTACCTAAAGATGTATCTCTAGATGTACCCAAAGATGCATTCAAATGTGTCCTTATAGATGTACCCATAGATGCATGCATAGGTGTACCTAAAGATGTATCTCTAGATGTACCCAAAGATGCATTCAAATGTGTCCTTGTAGATGTACCCATAGATGCATGCATAGGTATACCTAGAGATGTATTTATAGATGTACCCAAAGATGCATTCAAATGTGTCCTTATAGATGTACCCATAGATGCATGCATAGGTATACCTAGAGATGTATCTATAGATGTACCCAGAGATGCAGGCATAGGTATACCTAGAGATAAGCCTATTGAGGGTCTCATGAGTGTACCTAGAGATGTATCTATAGATGTACCCAAAGATGCATTCAAATGTGTCCTTATAGATGTACCCAGAGATGCAGGCATAGGTGTACCTAAAGATGTATCTCTAGATGTACCCAAAGATGCATTCAAATGTTTCTTTGAAACATAGGATAATTTCCTATGCTAAGGGCTGATGTGTAAAAGTCAGTCCACCTCGGTGGGAATTGAACCCACAACCTACCGATTAGATCTCGGATGCTCTACCACTTGAGCTACGGAGCCGACTGGCTTTTACACATCAACACTGCATATATGGCTTCTCTGCCATGACTTACATGCCCAGTTCCCTGGACCCTCATAAGGTTCACCTGTCTTTCCAGGTTGCCAATCACACTATTCATGATGTCACATGATCTTTCCCATGCGCCATTCCCGGCCGACTAGGAATTTTTTATTAGTTTCTTTGAAACATAGGATAATTTCCTATGCTAAGGGCTGATGTGTAAAAGTCAGTCCACCTCGGTGGGAATTGAACCCACAACCTACCGATTAGATCTCGGATGCTCTACCACTTGAGCTACGGAGCCGACTGGCTTTTACACATCAACACTGCATATATGGCTTCTCTGCCATGACTTACATGCCCAGTTCCCTGGACCCTCATAAGGTTCACCTGTCTTTCCAGGTTGCCAATCACACTATTCATGATGTCACATGGTCTTTCCCATGCATGTGTCCTTATAGATGTACCCAGAGATGCAGGCATAGGTGTACCTAAAGATGTATCTCTAGATGTACCCAAAGATGCATTCAAATGTTTCTTTGAAACATAGGATAATTTCCTATGCTAAGGGCTGATGTGTAAAAGTCAGTCCACCTCGGTGGGAATTGAACCCACAACCAACCCGTGCAGGCATAGGTGTACCTAAAGATGTATCTCTAGATGTACCCAAAGATGCATTCAAATGTGTCCTTGTAGATGTACCCATAGATGCATGCATAGGTATACCTAGAGATGTATCTATAGATGTACCCAAAGATGCATTCAAATGTGTCCTTATAGATGTACCCATAGATGCATGCATAGGTATACCTAGAGATGTATCTATAGATGTACCCAGAGATGCAGGCATAGGTATACACAGCCAATATAATTCGGCACCGTTTCGGCATCGAAGAAATTCGGCGCTGTTCCGGCACCGTTTCGACACCGTTCCAGCATCGAAACCTTTGGACACTTAAATTTGCTACCGGACTAGTCAGTCCATTTGGTGCCGAAACGGCACCGAAATTTTGCATCGAAACGGCGTCGAAAATCAGATTGTATTTTGGGGGTGTACCTAGAGATAAACCTATTGAGGGTCTCATGAGTGTACCTAGAGATGTGCCTTATCCTGAAATGCTTATAAACCTTTGTCATCATTCACGATATGTGAGGCTCTCAATCTGCGGGAAAAAATTGAGATTTTAGCAAGAAAGCTGAAAACCAATGAGAGTTTGGCATCTTCCTTGGCATATCCCCCCCCCAGGATGATACTGCATATGTCAAATTTCCAACTCTCTTTAGAGTGGGGTCTCAAACACATCTTGAATGGTGTAATTGTGTGACTTATTGTTCCTCTAGTTGGCATATAGCATGATCATTTTGACAAGTCATGATAGTATTAGTAGAACCTTGTCCTCTCACTCGAGGCAGCAGTACCTATCAGCTTTGCTTTGCTTTGCTCAATAGATGGCAGCATAGATTTGCCTACCAAGTTGCATTTTTGGCTGTGGTGTTGCGCTTTTTATTGTTGTTCTTTAGGGATCATTTAATTTCTCTTAGTATGTCTTCTTATTATCCCATCAAGTTCTGGGGATAAATACAACAGCTCTGTTCATCAAGGCAATAAATCAAATACCGTTGTCTCAATATATCGTTTATACTTTATATATACGTTCTGCTTTGAAAATGGTTGCCAGTTTCAGAATGGCTGCAGTTTTAGTCGAACGATTTTAGTGTGACTTTTACTGTATTTAAGGTATAAGAAATAAAACTAATATTAATGTTAAATGAGAAAAATATACAGGGGATTGATTCAGTTAAAAATCTTATTAAAAAACATGGCACCCAACTTGAAAAATGGTGGCCTTTAAATGATATTTTACGTTTTTTTGCTATACTCGGGAAGTATTAGAGTGATTTTGTTCATATTTGATATGTGTATACTTAAAGCAAAGTACACTGGTTTATGGCCATTTCAATATGTGATATTTCATTATGTTTTTTGCCATAACTGGAGAAATAATGGAGCGCTTTTGTTGCAATTTTATATTTGAATACTTGAAAGCATATTACACATTTTAGACAATTTGATTGTGAGTGGCCATTCTGAAAAATGGTGGCCATTTATGTGTGTTATTTTACATTTTACTATAACTGGGAAAGGAATCGATTTTGTTGAAATTTTATATGTGAATAATTAGAAGCGTATTATATTTTCTCATGACAATTTAGCTTGGGATTGGCCATTTTGTGTTATTTTACATTTTTGTAAGTAGTAGAGCCATTTCATTAATATTTCATATGTGAATACTGAGTGAAGAATATATTAGAAGCATATTAAGCAGTCTAATAGTACAAAAACGTCATTTCGAAGGGCAATATAGTGAAATATTGGACCGAGGGCCTTCAGCCAGCTATTTCATAGTAAAATGAATGCCTTCTAAACTAGCACTAAAACCACTAAAACTGGCCCGGCAAGGTGGTAATAATGACATTTTGGCTAATGGGTAACCATTTCAAAAAATGGCAGCCATTTTTATCGCTGTTCAATGGGATTTGCTACGCTTTGGGGTTGCTGTTATCTCGTTTAAGTTCATTTCTTTGAATACTACTTAGTAATATGAGAAGCAAACGAATTGTTTTGTGTTGGTTCATTTTAGTCTTATTTCCCTAAAACTTTTGATCTTGTGAGGGAAAGCCAAAACTAGCATGTAGGTGCATGGTATTAAATACTAATAAAAAGAATTGATATTGTAATAAACGATATTTGAGCTTTTGATGGGCGTAGTGGCTTTGTAAATATATTGCATGTGGAGGAGTAAATTGAATGTGAGGGAAGAGTGCAATATGAAATACCAGTAAAAGAATTTGGAACTGTATTGTAATAAGTGAGATGATTGGGTAAATTGAAAATATATCTTTAGGAGCAATCCTATAGCAATTTTTGAAGTTCTACTACCTCATACATTGGCTGGTCAGACAAATGAAATTCCCTCTACACACTGTTTTTTGTACATTTTTGTAACTCATATAAAAAACAACAGCATACATTTTATAAGTATGTTTTACAGGTCATGTAGAGTTCGACAGGTTGATTAATAGCAAAAAGCTCGACTTTTGCACACTAATGATACTGTGTATTTTTCAAAAGATCTCAACCCTTTGAAGTGTAACATTTAAAAAACATTCAAGGCCTAACATACTTTACCATACTCTAGTACTCTCAGCTATACCGGGGTTACGAATTAAGCGATTTATTTGTTATCATGAAAAATTTATTTTTCAGATTTGAGAAATATTCTTATGCCATTCAAAGTTGAATATATGTTTAATGTCACCTCCCCTCTATGATTCAGGGAATCTTTCAGCAAACAAACAAACAAAAAATAAAAATGCCCAAATATGCACTTGCAAAGATTCCAAATGACAATTAAAGCATAAAAGTTGTTACCTTAGATCATATTATAGTCAAAAAGTTCCCGGATTGAAAACATCTATTTCAGGTTCAGTTTTGTCTAAAGTGCTAACAGTAAATAATAACCGGTGGGTTTTCAAACTAAACAGAGTGCTCCTGCCAAAATAGATTTGCCTGTATACCCCTGAGACTCTTATCTGAAGATAGAAAGCACAAATAAAGCAAAAGTTTGGCTATTATAGGCAAAAAATTCTCTTAAAGTCCCCATGTAAAGTTTGAAAATATGTTTGATCATTCATTTACTATTTGTCATGATTTTAAAAGTTATTTTAGAGATTTTTGAAAAAAGAATTCTCAAATATTCAAAGGAAGAAGTGCAATTACCCCCATGGTAACATGAAGAATAGAATTTCATATAATTCTTTGGAAAATATCAAAGTGCTTGGGCACACATAAGCTGAGATAGGGGTCATTTAGTTCACACAAAGTTGTCTTGGCTTACATGGAGCTGTGCACCATTGAC